AGATATTATTTCTAAATTATACTCCCATAAGGCAAGCGGGGATCCGAGCCATTGTCCTAAAGAAATGTGCTCCCGAGCCGGCTCCAGTCCTCTCTAAACTCTACAACTATTGCCTCGCTGCTTCCTGTTTTCCTGCTTGTTAGACTTCCTCCTCTGTAGTTCCTGTTTTTAAGAACTCTGTAGAACCTTCTGACACCTCTAACAATCACCCTATTTGTCTCTGACCGCTTTTGACTTAAGGTATTCGAGGCTTTAATCAATGCTTACGTGGTTAAGAACCTTACCTCTCAACACCTACTCTCTGACAAATATTATGGCGTCTGTTTTGCCAGATCAACCCTTGATGTGCTAACAGCCATCACTGAATATGTATATCAAGCTCTTGATAGTAACTCCGAAGCTCGACCTGTTGTTCTAGATATCTTGAATCTGACGGGGTTTGGAAGGCTGGTTTTCTATGTAAGCACTAGCACTCCGTTATTCCTGGACCTATGTTAGATTTCATCCAATCGTTCCTATTAAATGGTGAAATGAAGGGTGTTTTGAATGGGATACCTTCTAGATCTTTCCTCGGAAAAATAGGTGTCCCCCAATGTTCTATGACATCTGTTCTTAAGTAAGCATTTATGCTGATGACATTACTATTTATTCTTGCCTCAATAACAAATCCGTCAGAAATGACAAAGTCATCCTGTCCTCTACTCTTAAAAAGTATCTCCAACTTTTGATTAACTTGGTCAGGAAATGGCTCGTAAATTTCAATGCCTCCAAAACGAAACTGCTATCATTTAACTACCATAAAGAAACTATCCTGCCTACCAGCATGATTGCTGATGGTAGACATAGAACGTATTACATTGCGCCTTCTTGGCCTCACGTTCTCAACTGACTTGAAAGGGAATGTCTACATCGAATCAATAGATGCATCTACTGCAAGGAAATTTCGGTCATAGTTTCATGCCAGAAGGTTTTTCTCGTCAGAGTCCATATTTCACATTTACAAATCTACCATTTGCCCCGTGCATTGAATACTATTGCCGTATCTGTTCAGGTGTTTTTATTCTTTCCTCGGTCCATATTATAGCCAGTCTTTTCTCTCCCGTTCACTCTCTGTAACCCCCTGCGTACTAGTGGCATTCCCGCCTTGCTTGGAATTAAATGATTTATATATATATATATATATATATATATATATATGTGTGTGTGTGTGTGTGTGTGTGTGTGTGTGTGTGTGTGTATGTGTGTGTGCGCATATATATATATTTATATATATATATATCTCTTTTGTGTATATGTGTGTATATATATATGTGTGTGTGTATGTATATATATATATATATATATATATATATATATATATATATATATATATATTACTTTTATTATAAGATATAACAGAAACATGTTGAAATCGATACACAAAAGCTTTCATGTTTCAATAATTTGTACTTCTTCAGCTGACGGTAAGTAACTGGTGATTCAATGAATTCTAAAAAAATTTAAAACAAAGTGTACTGCTTTTCCGAAAGTTAAAAAGGGGAAACATGAAGTCAGAATTAAAAATAGACTTGTGGGTAATGTCAGATCTACGCTAAATAGAAAAGTACGCTCACAGAGTGGAGGTGGGTGAGTTATTCTTTCATGTCAAGATAACCGGAAAATAGACTGGCCATCATTGACAGTTGCGGAAAATATGTCAGCGACAAATATGTCGTAAGTGTAGACAAATATGACATGTTTAGTTTTTGGAAAAGGCGTTGCAGGGAGGAGTAGGTCAACTAGATATTTTTTCTTATTTCTTTAGATTCAGGAAGCTATATATATATATATATATATATATATATATATATATATATATATATGAAGAAAATATACTGAAAAAAACAAAAAAAAATCCTAATATGCGATTATGCTGTTTTAATGTTTAATGTCAACGTCGGACGTTTCGGTCTAATAGACCATCTTCAGAACATATTCATAAAACATAATTAATATAGACCATATACAATTCAACATGAAAAGGACAATGGACATAAAAGCAATACCAATCCAAATAGATAACTGAAATCTTTTATAAGATCAGCGTTCTGTTTAAATATGGTCACGTCGTCGTCACGTGGGCGATGTTGTGAAAACGTATTCCTAAAATTTAGGATTTTTGTTTGTTTTTTCAGTATATTTTTCTTCATACTGTCAGATCATATTATAGGTTGGTGCAAAATAATGACGTAATAATGTCGTTTTTTGACGTATTTTTAAGATCAAAAACGATATTATTACGTCATTATTTTTGCACCAACCTAATATATATATATATATATATATATATATATATATATATATATATATATATATATATTATTTATATATATAATAAAGAGAGAGAGAAAAGAGAGAGAGAAAGAGAGGTGAGAGAAACAAAATGGACACTGGAATCAAGCGGCGATTTTTATGTTTGAATGCAATGTTCAGGCCATGTATTATGCTTGTTGCGTTTTGGCTAGTGTATTTATATATGCCAGCCAATGATGCATTGCGGATAGTACAGTATATTGTATTATCCTAACTTTTACTGGGTAGCCGGTAACGGTAATGTTTCAATTCCTGCTCGAGCCTATTAATTAAAAATAACTCAGAATCTGAATGGTGTTATTTGTAGAGTTTTTATTCATTATTTATTATTGATTGCTTTATTATTTGTTATTGGTTGTTATAATTACTGTTATGAATAAGCAAGAGTGGTCTCCCTTGTTATATTACTCTGCTCTTTGACAGAGCTATTTCTGTTTACTTGAACTATAAAAGGACGTCATCGCGAACCTTGTATTCACAGTTGAATAAAGGTTGTCTTAAAAGCTATACCTGCGTACTTTTGTCATTAGAATCATATTTAATTGTCTTGGTGCATTCGGCGTTTGTTAATTTTTTATTATTTACTTATTTTGTTTACATTATTAAATTATTGTTCATTTTATATTATCTATTTACTTTAATTAATTTATTTTTTCAAAGATAGGTTATCTTCTTTGTTTAGGTTCACGTATTGGTTAGCTAAAATCTTGTAAATGCACAACACTTTAAACAGTAAAATATCATTAAATGCTACCCATAATGCACCATTAGACAGCATATGTAAATGGCCGAGCCAAAACACGACTGGCATGGCCTGAAGCATGAAACAGACTGTCGCCGCTGGCTGTAGACCTGAGTATATCCACTTTTATATTTACTATGAAAATCCTGAGAGCTCAATGTGAATACAGAGCTAATATTTAATGAAAAACAGACCACTTTAAGGTACCATTACAATAATTTATTTCACCAAAATCCTTTAAAGGCACCTTAAAGTGGTCTGTTTTTCATATATATATATATATATATATATATATATATATATATATATATATATATATATAAACTTACATCGTTATTCATAATAGTTAACTTTGAATAGTCACTCTTGAACCGTGTTTATTCCATCTACCGTACTGCGTACTAGAAGACTTAATAAAGAAAATGTCCTCACCGGCAGAATTCAAACCTTCGTCCCACTCTTGTGGAGAAACCTCCTTTTGAGCCGACGTGCTTATACCATTCGGGTGCAAAGAGCCTCAATGTTGTATTTTTGCCTTTCAAGCATAGTCACGCGTTCAGATATTTCACCAAATGCATATGTGTCCAGTTTCACATCTGAAATGTAAACAAGCCGATTTCTAACGAATTAATGCTTTTTTATTTTTTAATCCGATAAATTATTTCTGACTTCCAACGTTATTTTTATTGGTTAACCGTAATTGAGTAGACGCTCTGTTTATTTCAGACAGCATTTATTTCGTCTCCCTGTCTGCGTACCTGAGAAAGCTTAATAAGGAAAATGTACCCTTCGACAAGATGTGGGTAATCCGATAAATTATTTGACTTCCAACGGTATTTTTATTGGATAACCGTATTTGAGTAGACGCTCTGTTTATATCAAACAGTATTTATTTCGTATCCCTGTCTGCGTACCCGAGAAAGTTTACTAAAGAAAAGGTACCCTTCGACAGGAAGCGTGTACTCAGGCCGGTTATTTAACTCATTCCAGATGGAAGATGAGGCGGATTCAAATCATTCCTAATGCACATTACGAGATGTAAGGATTATGAACAGGGCTTTTTGATTTCTCTTTCCAAGTCGCTATCCATCGGACCATCCGCATGTCCATTTAGAATTTCTTTTAAACACCTAGAACGAATGTGATTTTCGTATAAACATGGAATTATATATGCATGTATATCGGCGTCAGTTTGTGAAATGATACGTCTTAGATTGACTCTGTGTTTATTTGCCTCTCATCTTGCCAATGTTGTGTCATTTTTTGATATCTAAGTTTAATTAAACGAATGCCTTATGTTTAAGAAACTAACAATCCATCGCACTTAAAGGCGTATTAGATGTGTGCCTACACATATCAGACTGAGAAAAAATATTGTTGTATGGGTAACTGATTGCTGACACACAACCATACGTAGTAAGCTAACTCGATGAATGACTAGATACACATTTGAGTATGTTTATCTATCTTTCTGTATTTTTTAGGCATTTAATATATTCTCTTTACTTTAATGCAAAGAGAAATATTTTCAATTCTCGAGTAAAAAAATTAGCCGCCATTAATCAAATACAAATGTAATTTCAATCGATATATATTCAACATTTTAAAATTCCGAGTGCTTTTTTTTGTAATACATTCCTTTTCTCTTGCATTAATGGAATGTTTTAACCAAGATAAAATTAAAAAAATAGACACTAAAACCGAAGACAATCAATAGCTTTTCGTAAACGTTTATAATTCATCCTTTATTTATTTTCTTTTTCTGATCAACTGACTTCAGAGATCATATCAAAATAGATATACTTTTAACAACTTATTTGTTTTTATTTTTTCTATTTATTTACTTTTATTCATTTGCGATATGAACAACTGTTATTTTTTTAATGATATTATCAATGATATTTCAATGTATTCAGTAAGCGATAAGTGACAATTTGAACAAGTCATGACCTACAGTCTGTTGTTAACTGGGACAAGGATTGGCATGTTAAATTTAACGCCTCCAAAACGAAACTTCTCTTTGTTAATAATCTGAGCGACCCCAGTCTGCCTCCGTTCAGCATGGCTGATGCTAACCTCAATGAAAGTGACGTCGTTTCTCCTTCTCTTGCAAACATTTTCAGCTGACTCGAAGTGCAAAGATTAAATTGAATCCATTGTTAGATTTGTCGCTAAGAAAATTGGTTCGCTGTGTCATAGTAGACATTTTTTCTCTCCAAAATCTCTCTTCGGTCAGTTAAGCGCCATACATGATACATGTTTGGGCGATCATGTATCTTTCGATACATGACTAACGAAACAGATTTTTCCCTCGGTATGTTGCTATTTCTTCTGCGGTAGTCTGTTTGCCAACCAAGGCTAAAGAATCAGTCTGCCCTGCTATTTAACCCATAGCTGGAGGAAGAAGTGATGATTCACATCTTTCCCAAGAGTATTTGAGCGTAAGTGAATCTCACAATCACGACTGGAATTCGAACTCTGCTCTAGAATTCTTACTCCAGGCTGTATATTTAGAGAATCTTTATGAAAAAAAAATCCATTGAAGAATCAGCAATATTATTGGTCCTGACCGGGCATCTCGGCTTTAGTCAATTTCCCACCACCGTAATATAGCTTCCTTTGGCTTTTTATATATACTTTTATGTAATTGTTCGGATGAAGTCTTCGCTATGTTACATAGATTTTATAGAGAATGTTTAGCCGCGAATGACTGTTTTCAGCAAAATCTACTGCTGCTACTGCTACTCCTCTTTATGTAGGAGCATATTTCTGACTTTCGTTCGACGGTAGAGTCCAATCTTGTAGGGAAATATTCTCCCTTACAACACATAGTTGAATTGGCTAGATTTAACAGTAGGTTCTATGCTAACAGGTTATTTTCTCACATTTCCCGCTTAGGGAACTATCTTCCGGCTCCATCCTTCCCAGCCATCTTTGATCTTCAAAAATTTAAATGCAATGCCAATCGCTATCTACTATTTCCTTGATTATTCGTCTATTGTTCTCACTCCTTAATAATGTTTATCTGTTTTCTTATTTTTTCAGACTCTGTGTCTTAGTGGTTTTATTTCCCATGCAGAGAGTGAAATAATTAAAGAAATAAAACCACTAAAAGAATGCGGATTTTACCAGTTTTTGCTTACGAAAGCACGTCATGCAGGATAGTTCAATTGCATCAAACATTTAAGGAATGATTGCTGGCCATGAGAAGAAAAAGAAGGCATTATTGCGTTTTACCTAAGCTCATATCGCGTTCTAGAATAAGTGTGAAGTAGAAAACTATTTCGACCTCAAGGAAAGAGACAAAAAACCTCTCTCTCTCTCTCTCTCTCTCTCTCTCTCTCTCTATCTATCTATCTTAATGCCATGTTAATGACAAAAAGGTAGAAAAGTCAACAAAATCAATGACTGAGGAAAGATTTAATAAGTCAAGCGGTGCGTATGAAGTGCAATTGGCGTGCAGTGTTCAAGTTTTGCGCTACAAGCAAGAATATGTCTCTTCTCCCCACCCTATATGGGTTAAATAGCTGCTGGTTGTTATTTCTAAACACACACACACACACACACACACACACACACACACACACACACACATATATATATATATATCTTATAAATTAATTGATTTAAAATATGCTTTTTTTCGCTACACAGTTCTAACCATGTTTCAAAAATGGAAGCTAAAAGCCCCTAACCTAAACTTCTTTTAAATTGTAATTAAATAAATAAATAAAGTTTACTAAATCAGAGAAATGAATTAGCTATTTTTGCCATAAGTGAAAAAAAAAATTACTTAAAAAATATTTAAATATAAAATTTTTTAAATCGTAATATTAATATACTTGATAAAGGAAAATAATTTTACGTACTGTAAGTAACTCTAATACATTTACTTCTATTAAATGAAATATCGTCTATAAAAACTAATAATGAAAATATTTTAAAGTTGTAATTAAAATTGTAGTTAATTAAAATGAATTCTAACCTAAACTTCTTCTAAATTGTAATTAAATAAATAAATAAAGTTTACTAAATCAGAGAAATGAAAATTTTACTTTAGTAATATTTAAATATAAAATTTTTAAAAATCGTAATATAATTGATGTGATAATAATTCTACAAACTGTAAGGGATTCTCATTACATTTAATTGTTCTTGAAAGAAATATAGTATATTAAAAATTAAAAGTAAAAATATTTCAAATCGTAGTTAAATAAAAAGTATTCTTACCTAAACACCCCCCAAAAAATCTTTAAATATACGAAGGAAAAAAATGCCGTAAGAATTTTAGCCGTTAACAATATAATTTAAAAAAAAATCCAGACGACACGCTTTTAACGGATGTTAGATTTCATTGAAAAATACATCCCTACCCACTACCAAAACGTAGCAATAACTGATACATTAAAATACAGACATATTGAATACCCAGACACTTCTTGTCTAGCAAAATAGATTTATCCGTAACCTTGGAAACATGAATTTTGTTTTAGCTGTGTATTTAAAACCCAGTAATTTTAAAAGTTACTCCAAAATTCGCTTGAGGATGAAATGGAACTAATGTCTTTAATTTAATTACAAAATTAAATTCGGGGCTTTTAGCTTCCATTTTTGAAACATGGTTAGAACTGTGTAGAGAAAAAAAACATATTTTAAATCAATTAATTTATAATATTAATGCTCTGTAAATTTACATTGAGCACTATTTTGTAAAAATAAAATATCTATAAGAACACCGGATTATATATCTTACTGTTCTTTCTTTATATATACATATATATATATATATATAAACAGAGATTTGTACCCGAGGAAGATTTGTTTCCCTCCTCATTCACTTTATTGTCTTTGTATTCATTTATATCAAATATTGCCAACGAATATCTTTGATAAAGCGTTGGCCGAAAGGTGCCTTAGATATGACGTCCACTTTCTTTAAAGCTATATATATATATATATATATATATATATATATATATATATAAAGTCATGTCACAACACTATAATTTTGAGTAATATTTTTTAGATACAGGTGATCGAGATACTTACCAGGCACAGACGTTAGATATTAGACAATTAGGGTTTACTGAGGCGTGGTTAACGACCCCTGTGCGGTGTTATGATTCATAGATTGGAGAAGTTGCTCTGCTCCGGGGATTCCAGCCCTGCGGCAGCACCTTCCTAATCGTTCTAAAGAGGTTGGGTCGATGTAATTACGAAACCAAGCGTAGCAGTAATGAAGGGGTTTTGGCAAAAATTGATTTTTTCCTTGGTCCATATGCATAAGTATGAGTATGGCGCTTCTCACGTAAAAACGGCCTTGTGTTACTTCCTGCCTTGGTAGGGACGCCGGATAAATATACCTGGCGATTGATATTTTTCTTTTCAGTTTTTTAAAATGATGGTCACCCTGTTCTAGTCCCAAGAGCCACTCGAGGTGGAGGTACGGTCCATTGGGATATATGTTTACCCTAGACATGAACAGGTAAAGATTGTAGTGAATGGAGAAGCATCCTCTTGAGGGTATATTTCATTGGTGCTTCAGATAGCGCGAGGGTAATTAAATTCTTCTTGCAAATCAATTCGTTTAAGTAACGAAAAGAAAGCAAATTTTAAAAGAGAGCATTCATGATTGTCATCAAGAGGAATAGCCAACGGTGCAAACGATAACCTGGAAATACGAAAGTCAAGCGAGAACGTAAAGTTAACTATCTGCGATTTGTTTTAACAGAGGATGGAAAATGTGACATCGAAATCTAAAGGCGTATTTCAATGACAAAAAGATGTCATTCAAAAGCACAGTACAATATTACGAAACAGGAACATTTTGATAGAAAAGAAAAAAATGAGTGCTGAACTGTTATGTAATATAGCTCCCTCCTATATGGCATAGACTGATGAACAATTTCATTCCAAATCAAGAAAAGACGTGGGGTGGGGTAACAAAAATGATATTCTAAAGAAGGATGCTGAGAATAGCATGAACAGAATATGTGAATAACGATGAAGCTTTAAGGAAAATGGCAACGAAAAGAAACGTATGCTTAGAATCAGAAAAAGACAACTGAGATTTCTAGAAGACATAATTAGGAAAGAATGCTTAGAAAACACGACACTCAAAAGACATATTGAATGCAATAGTAACAGAGGAAATAATCTACTTAATTAAATCTGACCAAATGCAGCAATTATGAGGCACAAACCTAGACACACACACACACACACACACACACATATATATATATATATATATATATATATATATAGATAGATAGATAGATAGATAGATAGATATTCACTTATCTGCTATATACCTAATTATAAAAATATTATTATCTGTTATTTAAAAAAAATAGTCTGATTCACAAAAATTGCAAAGAAGTTTAGCTATTTAGATGCATTTTCTCATCATGGTTTTATAACTGACTGAAATTAATGAATTAAATTCTTTTGGAATGTATCTAAAATAAGTTATCCTTTTCGTTAATGATTAAATTCTTACTTTCAGCTGTCGTTCTGCTAGGCTATTGTGCATCTATTCTAAATAAAAGAAGTCATCAACTATTTGTATATTTTGGAAAAAAAAATATTTTTCAATAATTTTGGACCGCACTAATGTCTGAGAACTCCTGTATCACACGCCAATTCAGATTTTTTTTTGTTAATGTCATAAGCGTCTCAATATCGCCATCACTGCTCCCAGTCTACGTAATCTAGGGACACAATCCACCGTGCCTTACAGCGATTTTAAGCAGGTCTTCTCCCATTTCAGAAGAGAGGATAAACATTGCACTACAGACACGTGACATGCCTCGAGCGAAACACAAACACAGCGATTGGTGCAGAAATCAAACAGAACTTTATCATATTTTCTTCCTGATTTTATTATTATCTTTTTATTTTTTCATCTTGTTCTTTTTCTTCTTCTTTTTCATTCCTCACCATCTTCTTATTCTCCTTTTCTTCTTCTTCTTCTTCTTCTCCTTTTTTCTTCTTCTTTTACTTCTTCTTCTTATTATTATTGTTACAATTATTATTATTATTATTTATACATGTTCTTCTTTTATATGGGTCAGAGACAAGACAGAAAATACACTAATTTTCTCAGCAAAGCCGGTTGGAATTAGCGGTAAGCCGATACAAGTTTAATCTTGGAGTCGGATTCACGAAGGCGGGTTGACATTGGTTTACACCTAAAGTCAATGAAAAGCTACACTTTGTAATTTTTGTCTTTTTATTACCCAAACACTATCAATAGCAAAACGTCAATAGCAGAATCAGAGACGTTGATAAAATCGCCAGCGTCAAACCCACAAGCCTTAGTAAAAAGAGACAAAGTATCACTGTCATTCCAATTGTGAGATCTACTCTAGCCAAACAACAATAAGGTCTTAACTATCACAATAACAACTATTTTCACCGACGTTACAGTAAAGAAAACGAACCTTCTTTTCAATACCGCTGTCAGTAACACAATTACCAGCGACATTAAAAGTAGAATCATCCATATCATAATCATCAGTGGAAGCAGCTATAAATTGATGAGACTTTGGAAATAATAGTACCAGTTTATTATTTGTTCTTTTATTAGAACAAGGAAAATCAACATCAGGTCATTCATTTTTATTGTAGCAACACTCACCATAGAAATATATTACTATAAACAACATTATTAATAGCATCAGTTCGCTCATAACTCCATTTTCTGCGAAAGGTGTAAATGTCACCCTTAACCGATTGGTATGTGAAAGTACTAGACCTGTCCACGGATCAAAAGTCATTATTTAGCGTAAGGTAGATGAAATGGACACGTTGACTCGTATTTGATGTGTATATGTTCTATTTGACGGTATATATGACTCAGGTCAGAAACTGGTCCAAAAAGACACTATTAAAATTGTTGAGGGGTTCTCCCTTTTCTACACAAATGGACTCACCCAGGGTATACATATACTACTGCTAGTGAATACCCGGGAGAAGAACGACGAACGAGCAGGAACCAGAACGAACGTAAGGAGCAAGAATCACAGTGGGCAAGCACGTAGACTCAGTAAGAAGTCATGCAGTGATACGTCGATATGAAAGACTATATATATATATATATATATATATATATATATATTCATACACGTTTCATTAAATGATATAGACAAGTGTTGTCTATTTTATAAACTTTTTCGTAACGTCTTATTTGCATAAATAGACAACACTTGTCTATATCATTTAATGAAACGTATGAATGAAAAGATGCAAAAACACACACACACAATATATATATATATATATATATATATATATATATATATATATATATATACAAGTATATAATTGGTGTATACGGAATGAATTCCAATAACCAACAATTACT